TTACTATCGATATTTGAGGACGTGATATTTGACGATACTATATAACAAAATAAAAATTAATATAACATAAATATTAATAAACTTCTAAGTAAAGTTAACCAAAAGTTATGTAATTAATTACGCATTGTATGAACACCCTACAGATTAGGTATATACACACACACACACTCGCGCACGGCGGCGTCTTGTTGTATCAGCACGCTGTCGCACGCCTCCACACTTGGAACACTTGGAACGTGTCAACACTTTATTTATTTATACGGAAATTTGGTCAAAAATTAAGTACCTATTTTTTTTACATAATTCGAATGAGAATCATGTACCGAGTATGCTCCTTAAATATTGATAGTAATTCACCAGTCATCCTGTATAATGACTCAACTAAAGATAAAAATGTATAAATATAGGCGGAGTAGGGTGAGATCATAGTACAAACAGTGATATAATAAAGATCAAATTACTTAATGACTGTGTAATGTAAGAACATGGTTAAAATATCGAACTAAACACCATTAAGATATTTAATAACATTCAATTGTTATAATATTAAATTATTCCCAAAGAGGGTTGATGTCAAGCAGACGGCCGGTTATAAAAACAATTAGCCAAAACTATTCACAGCATGTAAGGCAGAACCTGGCTAAAGCTGACAAATAGCCAGGAAGAATGAGAAGAAGGTATACTATTCAAATTAAATTTTACTAAATAAATTTAACATTCCATTCGATATTTAATAAGAAGTTTTTTAAATCATTAATTGACCCTACGTCCATATTAGTGTGTGGTCCATTAAGTTCGTGACCTTACCAATAGTTAATTTCGTCAAAACTTAAAGTATCAACGTCTCAGTATATACTATCAAGTAAGAAACGAGTCATCTTCTGTTTCATACATACTTCAAATTGAAACGAATGGTTATAATAAAATTCTAAGTATTATTATATAATGTATTGTATATGTAGTCCTATATTTTATATATAGTATAACTTGTATTAATAAAATGTATATAAGTATATTATTATCTAATTATTTATATTATTACAAACAAACAATATGTTTTTATTATGTATATCCTTAATATTCAATGTTGTATTCACTCATTGCCAAACGCATGGGACTTCACTTGCGCAATATAGAATACCATACCAGGATAACGACGTCTTTATTACAATGATATAAGTATCATTATCGTTTAAATCAAAAGTAATAGTAGGACATACCAACACGTCGCCTACCGTGCAGTTATTTGCTACTTATTTTATATACATTATATATAACAGGATCGTAATATTAGTAGTTCGTATCGTAGTTAAGATTTAGATGATGTATTTTTAAATTTAAAATTACTTAAATTTAAATTTAGAATTGATGTCATTTTAAATTTAAAATTTAAAAAGTTCGAACTTGTCATAATATATATTTGATGTCATGAATAGTTCTGCTAGTAGTATACAATAGGGATCTGTGGCAATAATTTAAGCAACCTCCCACTTAGCAATGACTGGAGGCCTTTGGCCCGGGCCAGTAATAGGACCATTACTACATCTTTATTGACCGGGTTAATACTTCGCAATAACGTTTATATAATAAACAAATTGAATTATCATACAATTGATTTATATCTAAAAAAAAATATTATAAAGAATATTACTGGCTGTATGGTAATAAGTAATATTTTCCGCGTAATATTTAAATATTATTACTGTAATCGCCGTTTTATCCGTCAGTATCGCGATCTCGGGCGATATGTTCGCGGAACCAGCTTTACTTAGAACTGTAACATTGATTGATTGAATCACGCAACGAAACTTCCGACGATTCACAAACAGTATATGACATTATGAATACAGTAGAGCTAATAATTGTTAGAGGGTACCGTTGATATTAATTAAATCTAGAGATAAATATTATATTTCTTATACGTAATGCGATTGCTTTAGATATTTTGTAACTCTTTATTTTGTGAAATATTTTAATTGTTATGACAAAACAATTGATTTTATTTATGTATATATGCCAAAGAATATAAGCTTAAATAAAATCTATTTTTTCCAGACTACACCCAAGCAATAAATTTTAGTTTCAAGTCAAAAATTCTAATATTAATATATAAAATTCATTTAAAAATACATTCCCATAAGATCATTGAACCTTTCTTTCGACAACTTTTAACGTAATCTAATCGTACAGACGTCAATATTAATGAGTATATTATAATCAATTAGCACGCTTCACTGACCGTACCTAATGTCACAATAATTTTACATCATTACGGAATTATTTCCTAATAGGTATTAATCATTAAAGGGCTAAAACTATGATGGTAATTCCTTAATCATTAATCGGCTTAAAATATGAGGCGGTATCAATATGAATATATTTTATGGCAACCAGATTCACGCAAACATATGAAATAATCAAATATTGCATTTTTTTATACAAAAAATATGGTAAAAAAAATCATTGATACTATAATTTGAAGTCATACTTTATAGCCATATATTTAAAGGCGTAAAATATTTTCGATAAAAACCGAAAACAAAATCTTACCATATCTAGTACACATAGTTTGACGTTTTGCAATATAATGTACATTTAATTTTAAACCTTAAAATATATACAGGGTGACTGGTGAATTACTATCGATATTTGAGGACGTGATATTTGACGATCATATATGACGGAATAAAAATTAATATAACATAAATATTAATAAACTTCTAAGTAAAGTTAATGAAAATTTATGTAATTAATTACGCATCGTGTAAACACCCTACAGATTAGGTATACACACACACTCACACATACGCGGCGGGGGCGTGGTTTTGTATCAGCACGCCACCGCACGCGTCCACACTTGGAACACTTGGAACGTGTCAACACTTTATTTATTTATACGGAAATTTTGTCAAAAATTAAGTACCTATTTTTTTTACATAATTCGAATGAGAATCATGGACCGAGTATTCTCCTAAAATATTGATAGTAATTCACCAGTCACCCTGTATAACATATAGGCCAAATTGTATTGTACTTCACATGTCACAAAACTTTGCAATAAGTGTGCATTTTAATTTAAAGTTTCAAACCTGTATACAAGATTGACCATTCGATATTTTATCAAAAAACGCTTATTTTTTCTGCATTCATATTAAAATAATGTATTTAATATAATAATTAAATATCATAATAACTAAATAATTTCTGATTAGATAAACTTAAATATGGGATTAAGTTGTAAGGTCAAATCACGGGTGTATCTGGACGGGGTCAATCGCTTGATCTAACAATAAAATCAATCATTGACGTCATTGCTTGGGGTCACAGGTCACAGGTCACAGGTCAGTGTTTACGTCAACATGATAACACGTGACACCAATAAGACATACCATCATTGAACTTGAGAGGAACACATCTGATTAAGGTCAATGACGGGATCAAATTAAATATATGTATATATATACTAGAAGACCCGGCGAACTTCGTATCGCCCTATAATCAAGAAATATCTGTTACGTTTTTTTATTTATATTTTTGGATTTTACCTATTAAAGCCATAAATCTCCGTGTTTGAAAGTGCGACAGAATGATTGACCTATTAGTTAGTTGTCGAATCTAATGTAAAAAAAAAAGTTTGTGTCAATAAGTACTAATAAATTAAAAATTAATTAAAAAAACATTGTCTAGCTGACGAAATTGTGAATCTAAACCATTCCCAGATCCCCTTGAACAGACAAAAAAAAATTCATCCAAATCAAAATCGTCCAGTCGATTGAGAGAAGTTCAGTGGCATACACACTCACAGAAGAATTATATATCTATACTAATATTATAAAGCTGAAGAGTTTGTTTGTTTGTTTGAAAGCGCTAATCTCCGAAACTACTGGTTCGAATTGAATAATTCTTTTTGTGATGGATAGTCCAGTTATCGAGGAAGGCTGTGGGCTATATAACATCACGCTACGACCAATAGGAGCAAAGATATAGTGGTAAATGTGTAAAAAACGGGAGAAATTATTTCATCTTTGAAGCCTTTCGTTGCGTGCGCCGTGAAAACGGTTCAAGATACACAAAAAATATGTATTAAAGAATAATAGCTCTTTTAATGATCTAAAAAACAGTCCGCGACAGTATATGTCTATCTTTTAAGATTAACTCACAAAAACCGTTTTTATGCTACCTAATTTGGTCGAAATAATTTGTTTAATAATATTAATCTTTATTCAAATAAACAAATAAATATGTTGTTGGTTAAGAGTACTTCATTGTGAATAAAAAAAAACAGGTTTTATCCTGAAAATTCTACGGGAACTCGACTATTCCGAAAACCCCGCAAGAACGGGAACTATGTGGGAAGAACCAAAAATCTGCCGGAAGTCACTATTCCACGCGGACGGAGTCGCGGCAGAAGCTAGTATAAAGATATATGCCTTCTAAGTAATAAATATAAAAAATAATTTTACTTTAAACTCCTCTATAAACGAATATGGAAAATAACCGAAAGTTAATCCTTATAAAACGCACTATTTTTAAGCATCGTACGTTTATAAAAAACATTTCCACATATTATAATCATATATAATAATAATCTAAATTGGTAACAATGTGTGTTATCAGCGCTTATCAGACATCGCATTCCGGTTTTATCTTGAGAGAGCAGTGATTATTATCTATTCCTAATTGTAACAGTTGACATATAACATAATTAATACATATGATATATAAGGATAAAGGTACATATATATTTAGGGAACACACATTTAAATTGAACCGAACTTTTTGATTCCCAAACGCACCCGAAGTGACGTCAAAGAAATGTCATTTTTACGCGGAAAAGCATTTTGTCATACTTGTGTCTTTATAAATTGAATTTAACTTATTTAAGGTTTGGTTTAAGATAATAATTAGTTTGTTCTAGTTAAAGTTTCATATATAACAAATTAATATTACTTCTTATTCTATCCTTATCTCAATATACTTATAAATGTGGTTAATTCAAATTATACCTACAAGATAATATAAACGATTGTTCCATGAATATAACGATCAATTAACATACCGTAATTACTATTTATTAGTTATATATATCTTTTTAATAGATATAGAATAGCTATTAAATTATTATCTTAACTTTTTAAATGTATGTTAATTGGTTTGTATATTTACCTCTAGAGCCTCTTGGGCTGTGTGGAGGTAGTCTCTTAACATAGCTTCTTGGATGCTGAGCCATTCTAATCTCGGATCTTCAAGTTGGGTCACCTCTGAAACATAAAACGGAATTTATATCCAAGATCATTCTTATATATCCTTCTTCTACCTGGCAATTTCCCAGCTATAGCCAGGGTCTGCCTTACATGTTGTGGATAATTGTTTTTATGACCGGCCGCCTGCCTGACATCAACCATCTTTGGGAATGCATTAATCGGTGATGTCTAAATACTCTTAGAAAGTACATATGACAAGGAAAACATATATATCCTTAAATAAAAACCTCATACATACATTGTTATCAATACATAATAATATAATATCGTTATCAATCAAAACATAATATGTATAATTTAACGTATGATTACTTGGAATCATATGACTACGAAAACAATGAAGCCAGTCATCGTTGTGGCATTCGCCAATCAATCAAACAATTACCGATTGATATCGTATATGGCCATTGGCTACCATTATGATATAATGGTGCATTGCGTACCGACGGATCTGATAACGATATAGAACCACTATAATATCTATATTACTGTAATAAATATATGTATATATATATATACTATAGTCCGTGGTGGCTTAGTGGTTAAAACGCCCGCCTCTCATGCATGAGAGCACGGGTTCGATCCTGGCAAGTACCAATGTGATTTTTTCGAGTTTTTTTACTTTCAAAGAATATTTAGACATCACTCATTAATGCATTCTCAAAGAGAGTTGATGTCACGCAGGCGTCCGGCGTTAAATAAAATTAGCCAAAACTATTCACAACATGTACGGTAGACCCTGGCTAAAGCTGAGAAATTACTAGGTAGAAAAGGACTATAAATAATCATTTTTCAAACTATTCACAGTCAATGAAACAAAAAACAACGTTTAACAATATAAAAGATATTATATAATTATTATTTTTTATTACTCTTAGCATAATAATTTCAATAATGACGTATTTGATTACATTTCAAAAGTATTTAACACAATTTATCCAGTGGAATTCCACTAATGGTTATTACCTCAGTTTAAAACCTGTCCTGTTCGTATGTAAGCGAAATCGATTTAGCATATTTTTATTGACATTTACAACGTGTATTTTAAAGGCCTAGATTATTTACAACTTTTTTTTATATATATTTATAAACAGCGCGATATGAGAAAAGATTTTTAACCTATATAGATTTCTTGACAGAATTATCATACCATTTAGATTTTTTTTTCCAAGATCAAATTATGCCGTAATCCGTGCTATTATCGAAAATTTTAAAATATATACATTAGTTTGCATATTATTGTTATTTATTCCCAAAGAGGGTTGATGTCAGGCAGGCGGCCGGTCGTAAATACAATAAGCCAAAACCATTCACAACATGTAATGGAATGTACAAGTCAGTGGTGGCCTGGTGGTTAAAAGGTCCGCCTCTGGTGCACGAGGGCGCGGGTTCGATCCTTACCCCGGCAAGTACCAATGTGATTTTTACGAGTCATACGTACTTTCTAAGAGTATTTAGACATCACTGATTAATGAATTCCCTAAGAGGGTTGATGTCAGGCAGGTGTAAAAAAACAATTAGCCAAAACCATTCACAACATGTAAGGCTAAAGCTGGCTAAAGCTGGGAAAATTGCCAGGTAGAAGAAGATATATAAGTTTGCATAGAAATTAGATAATAAATGAAAATAGTAAGATGATTTAGATTCAAACTTTGATACGTACGTATATAGACTGCAATGTACCTATATTCAATTGCAGAGTAATCAGATTTGCGAGGCCTTGGCTCGTGAATTGAGAATATGATTGAAAATGGACCGCTCTTTGGATGTCACGCGGAGAGCGAGTGAGTGTCAGCGTGATCATGGACACTTAGTACATTTATATTTAGTTACTATGTTTTTTATTGGTATGCATAACAAATAACAATATAAGATTATGACTTACTGACAAAATACAATTAATTATATACATATATATATATTATGTACTAATTTATTCTCAAAAGAGGGTTGATGTCAGGCAGGCGATCAGTCGTAAAAACTATTCACACATCTAAGGCAGATCCTGACTAAAAAGCTGGGATATTGCCAGGTAGAAGATATATATATTATGTACTAAGTGAAAAAAGTCTTGATAGTTTTTCTATAAGAAATTATATCCTTAGTATATATAATTTTTTATATGATTTAAGACTTTATTCTTCGTATGTAGATGATCAACAAATATTAATTCTGTAAAGCAAACATTTGTAATAAACTATTCTAATCGACTTCCGGTGACATACAAGTTGTTAGGTTGACTCATTAATTAAAGAAAATGTCACGTCACTAGCATTTTAAGAGTCCTGGACATAATTAAAAAATAGCATATTATTAACACATTATATCTAATATATTTCTATCAATATTTGTTTTATAATGAATAATTTATACATTCAAATAAAACTTATTAATTATTCCGTATGCATCAAGTCATAAAACTAATAAATTCAAGAGAAGTAAGAGTGAACGCGCATAAGCTTTTCAAACAGTCCCACATTTGGAGAGGCCGTAAAATAGGACCACACATATAGACTATTAAATTGAATATGCATTACAAAAACTAATAAGATCTGGAATGTATAAGAACTATACAAACATACATTATAAACAGACTTCAAAATTATCCGTATATAGAAATATCTACGTTTATCTTGTATATATATAAAAATGGATTGCTGTTCCTTAGTCTCGCTAAAACTCGAGAACAGCTGAACCGATTTGGCTAATTTTAGTCTTGAAATACTCCTGGAAGTCCAGGGAAGGTTTAAAAGGTGAGAAAAATTGGAATAATTGCCGGGAAAACCCTAAAAACAGCCCTTTTCTATTTCCCATACAAACGTGTTTTTTTTTTGACATTAGATTTGACAACTAACTAATATGTCAATCATTCTGTTTGATTGAAACAGGAAAAACCTGATTATTTATGGCCTCTAAAACGGAATAGAGTTCGCCTGGTCAGCTATACCTACATATATTACTCTTGACCAAACTAACGCGGACGAAGTCGCGGGCAAAAACTAGTATTTTATAAGAAATAAAATCTTGAGGTGTAATCTTAAAATATATGAATATTCTCTAAGAATGAACGCTAGCACATAAATGTGGCAAACGAATAAGTAGAGGAAAGATTGCGACTCTCGATTACCGAGAGATGCAAATTAGAAGGCATATACATATACACATAGTTATAAATTTATACGTATATTAATATATTTTTGTTCATTGAATCAGAATCTTATTTACATAATATATGAAGAGATGAAGTAATATAATTAAAAATATTATTTGATACTTCATTACGTACATTCGAATGCAGAATCTTTTATTGTTTCTTCTACTATATTGTTATAAGGTTGATGATTTTTAAATATAAACGAAGGTCGAAGGTATCTTGCGAACTTGAAGTTTAATCATTGTAAAAATTCCATTACATGGAAGGCAAAAAAATATTAATAATTATAGCTACCATCACTTCCATAGGGCTATACAATTTTATTATAATAAAAATAGAGACGCGTTATGCTCAAAGGCGTATTATTTGCGCGAACAATCAAGATACGATCAAAATACTTGGAAACTCAAGTGTAAAAGACTATTACAGGGCTGCATTATGCAAAAAATGCGCTCTAGGCACAATCGGTTACCTATAAGATAGGACTTCATAATTATACTAACGAGCGCCTGCATTAACTATAAATAATGAGCCAAAGAATTTCAAGATCCCCATACTATAGATAAAAATAACGGATCATAATTTGCATGGACCGTTTTGACTATATTCTTTTAAACATATATATATATTATATACATCCTGTATAACAAACACTGTATGTTTAATGTCTTATATAGCGTCATTTATTCCTAAACATATTAATATTTATGTATGACTATTTTTTATTTCTTATTTTGATACGATATCTAGCATACTGACTTAGTCTAGCAATAATTGCAACAGTTAAATAGTTTTACTACGATCATAATATACAATAATAATAAAAATAAAATGATTTTTATTTACATAACAATCAATCGTCGATTAAATTATAAATACATAATTTTAATTGTTATAGATATGTATATATTTCAGTATACTTAAATATTTACAAGTCATACATTTTGTAGAATCTGTCAAATAATTTCGAAAGTTCGAAGTAACTTTCGATATATTAAATTTATGTACAGTTTATAACAACTATAGTAGTATATACTATATAGTAGTATATAAAATTCATCTATGTATTTCCTACATTAAAACCTTCCATTTATATACGACATAAATAACAAAAAGCTTATTTTAAATTAAATAGCTGACGATACTAAGTACAAATAAAGTCTGCGCACACGCATGTTATCGTCTGACTTATGAGTACTGCAACACTGCAACACCGTAAATAAGAACTCAATTTACACCAACATGTAGCAAGCAACATTGAAATATCTATAGCTAAAACGGTCTCACTAATTAGGAATTCCATTTGAAATGTCAGATGAGTTTGACCTATGGGTTTTATCAAATAAAAATGTATTATTATTAAAATAAACCCTATATAACGATATATATATTTATATATGAAATTCTTCTTTTTCTACTTCTTCTACCTGGCAAATTCCCAGCTATAGCCAGGGTCTGCCTTACATGTTGTGTATAGTTTTGGCTATTTATTTTTACGACCGGCCGCCTGCCTGACATCAACCCTCTTTTGGGAATCAACATTAATCAGTTATGTCTAAATAGTCTTAGAAAATACATATGACTCGGAAAAATCACATTGGTACTTGCCCGGGCCAGGATCGAACCTGCGCCCTCGGCAACGAGAGGCGGGCCCTTTAACCACTAGGCCACCACTGACAATATTTGTATTTGTATATGAAATTATGACACAAAAAATATTCAAAAATACAGTAATTATATGTCTAATAAAAGATAAAATGTCGTAAGTTGGTCAAACTAAGATATTTTATCTAGATGACATTCTGGCTATTAAAAGTATGAAACATAAGAACTAAGTACATACGTGACCGCTAAGTGAGTGCACTTAAAGTTTTATTACATAACATATGGAATGCTGTGTTATGTAAGATAATGAAACTACTGATATTTAAACACATATTGTAATATCAGATATATGTGTATATATATTTTACAGTTACTGTATTTCAAGACAGAATTATACGTCATTTATTAAGTGGCATAAATTTTATGTCAACTTTATATACAGGGTGACTGGTGAATTACTATCGATATTTGAGGACGTGATTTGTGACGATCATATAAGACAAAATAAAAATTAATATAACATAAATATTAATAAACCTCTAAGTAAAGTTAACCAAAAGTTATGTAATTAATTACGCATCGTGTAAACACCCTACAGATTAGGTATACACCCACACTCACACATACGAGTGCGGCGGCGTTGTGTTGTATCAGCACGCCGCCGCACGCCTCCACACTTGGAACACTTGGAACGTGTCAACACTTTATTTATTTATAGGAAATTTTGTCAAAAATTAAGTACCTATTTTTTTTACATAATTCGAATGAGAATCATGTACCGAGTATCCTCCTTAAATATTGATAGTAATTCACCAGTCACCCTGTATAAATAGTATATTAAAGGCAAAGTGAACAGGACAGCAACCGATGTGATGGGTGGTCGTTGAAAAAATTCTGAAAATGTCAGAAAATATCCAACAATAATACATAATGCATAGGAATGCGTGCGTTTCGTGCGAAATATACGGAGACCGTTATAAGGTAGCCGGTGTTAGCAGTGATTTGTGTTGGTTTAGACAAACTGAATACAATACACTATAAACATAGTTACAGCAAATTAAACGCTTATAAAGATTATATATACGGTGTTTGAAATCATTTGGCTGGATTGGACTATACAGGGCTATGTATTAAATATTTAGCATAGAGACATTCCAATATATTTCTTCTTCTACCTGGCAATTTCCCAGCTTTAGCCAGTCTGCCTTACATGTTGTGAATAGTTTTGGCTAATTGTTTTTACGAGCGGCCGCCTGCCTGACATCAACCCTCCTTGGGAATGCATTAATCAGTGATGTCTTAATACTCTTCGAAAGTACATATGACTCGTAAAAATCAAATTGGTACTTGCTGGGGTCAGGATCGAATTCGCGCCCTCGTGCATGAGAGGCGGACCTTTTAACCACTAGGCCACCACTGACTTGTACATTTCATTATATTTATAGACATAAAAATACATACAAAAAAATTAAGACTCGAGTGACAATATATAATAAAAAAACATTTGAAAGTGCCGCAGTGATTACGTAACTTTTGATGATATACCGTCGGGTATTTCACTTTATACAAAACACCTGTCACTCATGATGTATACAATAAACCAGTCGGATTTTTTTTTCGGTCTTTGCATAATATAATTCACATTATCATATACATCTAACACTGGATCAAAACAAGCAAAAATTTATTCTATTTGCATATACCTGATAGAGATTTACTGTTCTACAAAAAATATTGCAAAAAAACCACTCATGGACATGGTGTGATGTAAGTGATGATATTTTTTTTTGGTATATAGATTTAATATAATTTAGAATACACCTTAACATTCTATGTGCTAGACATAAATAAGCCCTTTCAATAATTCATGTCGAATAACTAAAACATCAAGGTTCTTCATAAGCCCCCCGCGTTGAACATTTTTCACCCGAGGTATTGAATAACACAAGAGTTATAAACAAGTCTCCTTAAACTCAATAAACCTTTCCATTTAGCGATGGTTTCGTATTTTTTTATCATTCGTAAACATTATTACAGTAAACTGACTCTAATTTCAAATACATTTTGAGAACGTACCGTACAGCGTATTAATTCTTGCGCTCAGCTAAATACAATCAAGGTTAAAATTGGCACTGATCTTACAGTCACTTGCTGTCGTCCAGTTTTGCGTAATTTTAATTCCTGATATAGTATCGCAAGCAATATTAATTAACATGTATATTGTGTACAAAAAAATATTCATAGTTATGATATTTGATATAATACATACGGTTGACGTGGTTGATGTAATATGGTCCAATTTGAGGATCGTAGGCCTCTTCCCAGCCCAATGGCAGTTCATTTCCAATGCAGTCCGCGAATGATTGGGGTTTTGTGTATCTGGAACAATTATTTTCGACAATTTTAGTACAATATTTGAACGATCGTCGCACTGATAGATACTCGTGAATTGGATTAAAATAATATTCCGTTAGCAATATAATGTGATCGGAAAAGACCGGTCCAAACTATTGGAAATGCTAATAATAAATGACTAATAAATAAAGTTGTTTGGCAAGTATATGGCACAAATTTGTTGTGTAAATAAATATACGCTAAATTGTATCGATTCAATGGATTTTTAGCATCTTCTTTGCTTGTGTTTTGAACCAAAATTATAACTCCAAAATAACCTAAATAATTTAAATTTTGATGACACAATAAAAGAACAATTTAAGAAATTATCTGGTTTAAATTGCTATATCAAAGAATTTTATTCATATAGATTCTAATACATTTGATAATTCTAATATTAGTTATTTCACTCCACACGTAATGTGATGCAAAGCCAAATACGTCACAGACACTATTGGGAAACCCTCCATATGCGAGAAACTCTACTAAAGAAACAAACATGCTAATGCTGCGTCAGTTGAAAACAATATAAATTGTTCAAATATATTATAAAATATTCCCATAGTCTAATATATTTGATTACTTCCCACGAATGAAATGGGCTAACCTATTAAAAATTCTCCTATAGCTATCATTAAAGCACTACAAAAATAACAGGGTCATTATTTCAAGTTTTGACCAGATAATTTTTACCGGACGGTTAATGATATATGGAGAATAAATGTGGTTAGTTTAAATTCATATTAGATTTAAAAAAAAAAAACCTAAAAATTTCTATTAGACTTTCAAAATTATACAACGAAGAAATCTTAACGATTTTCTTGGAACAAATGTTATGTTTATTAGAAGATTGTTAATCCCTTAACGATACTGCTGAACAGTAATTGCAAATCGAATACAGCAACAATTTTCATAAATTTGATTAAATCTTCAACCAAATAAATCTAAATGACGCTCCGTAGTTAAACAAATAAGCAATTTTGTTGCTATAGAAAGCTGGTACGTAGATGCTATAAATTAAGGGGCGTTCTTGAATTTCAAGTATGTGGTCTAGCTAGGTACAGATAAAACAGCAATTAATTGTAGTACTGGATGCCTAGAAGCCCTTTGGGCGTGGTGCAAAGGCGCCAGTGAATTGCTCAACATCATGCTAGTCTTAAGTGAGATTTAATTGCTATTAGTAATTATATGACAAAATATTTTAAATTATAACCATGATCGTACATCTTACAGATATGTCTAATAAATTATGAGTTAAAACTTAAAACTACGGACCATAATGATGTACAAATAACATCTTATAAATATATTCGATTAAAATTTGATCTCCAAAAATGTATCCAAGGTAAACCGTGTTTATTTTTTTGTACTGTTTTGGAAGCTACTATATAAGTGAGGCCTATTTAAATGGCCGGCAAATCTTCAATGAAATTTCATTACTCCTGGCAGCTACCGAGCGCGCGGCGTCCATTACATTACAGATCGTTCTTATCGAAGCGAGAGGATAGAGGGCGCGTGCGTGTGCGCATCCATTGCAATGGGTAAAAGGGAGAGCGATGGAAAAATGGTGAGAGGGAAAGAGATGGGAATAGCCGACAACGTTGCTGTATCGTGGTGGAACGTCAAAACCAGTCCTGTCAGCAGGACATCAAGACGAGTCGCGTTCTTGGAAACGGTGAGCCGTGTCACGGAATCCCTAATCGCACACAAACAAATAAACACACACACACACACACACACACACACACACACACACACACACACGCTCGACGTTAAACAGAAACATTTTTCATAGACATACTTAAGCTTTAGTGTTTTAAACATGTTACGTAATTAATATTTGGAAGACGCAATAAAATTAAAGTTTTTGTTCGATGTGGTTTTATTACTTTTTAATGAATTGAAATAACCTATACCTACAAACAAATGCCACTAACTCATAATATTCAAACTCCACTTACTCTAATTTGAAACATACCCACTCCTGATGTAGTATAAATACGGATTTTTTTCTATAGTGAAACAAAAATATAGACATATTTCCATAAAGTTATTTAATTGGAAGTTATTCAATTAAAGATATACTACAATTTATATGATATGCAACTGTGATTTTTTACAGAAATTTAAGATATCAAAACCTCTTATTCTGCAGAAAGAGACGCAGCTGAAGGCCAATGCACGACCACAATCCGCAAATAGAAACTCCCTAACAGCTTTGGAATATTTGGCTAAGCATTCCTTACATTTCATTATATCTAATATAGAGAGACTAATCTGTAATACCTTCCCGAGTATTTCATAACAAAAATACCACGAACGATACTAACTACTAGCGATAACTAAATAGTTGGCTAATCAAAAAATTCTTCCTAACTAACAAAATAATCTAAATTGATAACAATTGCGCAAACATTGCGTATATATTATTCGATATTTATTTGAATCTGACATTCTTTAGCGTTATTTTGAAACGCATTACCAAATCCTGGATTACGACAAAGTTGGATCCAGTCTGGTAGAAGGCGGTGCCACGCTGTCTCCCACATATCGAACCACCGACAGACGGACACGCACACCTACTTATATTCTATTAATATCACCCGACAAATATTTTAATCCACATACCGATGGGCTCTGGCTATACGGATTTTTTACTTCATAACAATTTATATTGCGACAATGTATTTTAACGTGGTATCTATTAAACAGCTTTTGTATTCCGCGTACACTAAACAAAGACCAAACACGGGAACATCACAAACTTTCCGTACCAAAAAAGGTAGCGAGTTAGGGGTCAGTGTGATTTCCTCTCGCATACCAAATCGCTGACAGAAGCAGTAGGTACAGCACAAATTTAAATGATTAAATTTACAATCACTTCGACGAAGCATGACCGGAAGAACATATAAAAATTCTTGTAAGCGAGCATTAAAGTAACTGTTTTGTACATTCTTAACACTTGACGTCACGATTTAACATAGAATTTATATCAAAAACTGGCATATTTATCTAAATGTCCAGTTTTGATGGCGTTATGCGTTAATGTGATAGCATGACGTCACGCTATTCGATCATTGACAAACGACATTCCAGAGCCAAGTGTGAACAGAAATGTGTGGCGTTGAAACTCATGTCACGTCAAGGTTAAGACCGGGCTCGGGTTAAGCATTTAAACATTTAAAATCAATTCCATTGCGAATATAAATAGAATGATAGCGGATCTCTTAGTTATCACAGGGATAGCTGTAAAGTGAGGTACGGACTTTGTATTACATAAATATTACATTAAATATATAAGGCTTCCGACTCAATCACGATGCATACCACTCGACTTTGTCACGCTGTCGAGCGACGCGTGCGACACAATATCATGATCATCACGATTCTAACAATTACTTAAGTGTAAGGGACCGAAGATAAATTTCAAAATTTTAGAAAAATAGAATCTAAATAGTTGTTAAATCAACGTAAATTATTTACTTTAACGCTTCATTTTGCTATTATGTTGATATTCTTTTGTTAATGGATCTTAGAGTCGATTTTTAATAAAGCTATCTTGGTGTACCCGGACAAAATACACATAGAAGTAGAATGTAACTACATCAATTATAACTAATAATCAACCAATACTAAACAAATGTCACATACTGTACGTCACTTTATCCCACGAGACCAGTTTTTAGCATGTATATATAACAGTTTAGTTCACAAGAGCCATGAACATGGCGCCTTTCAAAATACCTTAGTAACAAGTGCCTCTATGACAAAAGTTATCTTGATAATGGCACAAATGATACTTTCTCAATAGAAAGTTAAATATGAGTTTGGCATTAAGTGGTGCCATTCATACGGTGTTATTAGAACATACTGGTAGGACCGGAAATGATAGTTCAACACGGTCCAAACAACTTGATAAATGTCCAGCCATTGAATGGAATATAGACTTCAATGTTTGTTCAGACGAAATTCCTTTAGTCCATTGTCTTCATTTTTATTGATAAATAAAACATAAGTTCTCATTTATAATTAATTTATTTAGCTAACAAAATACAGATATGTATAGCATAACGTTACAGGTGGTACATTCCGTACGGTTATACAATTTAGCACTACATTGTCAAACAAGAAACTCTGTGGTACATTAAATTAGAATGTTATCCATTTATGGAAGGATATTTCGCCCACGTTTAAAATCGTCAATGATTTATTCAGAAACAGATTAGAACTAAGTTTGCTCATAGTAGCTTTTAGCGACAATATTTTTTGCATTCTTGGATCATTTTAAGGTATGGTTTATGTACACTTGACATACATTTGATATATATTTATATCAATTCTTCGTAAACCATACCTTCATCTTAGAAGTAACAAACTCACCAAAGAACCACTACCGATTTACCTAATTAAGTACCTTGTTAATTGCTTTCCAATCAAAAATAACGTTTTCGACACGACTGCACAAATTAGTTTAATTTTTATTAGACCTCCTTAACAAGTTCAAGGAATTCAAAGCTTTATATCCACTACATTAGAGACGGTTATAGCAAATGAAACCGAAACATCTAAAATAGAAGATGAAACTTGTATAGGCAACATTCTTCATCCGACCAAATTATGTTGGCCTCTACAATTATAAGCGTATGCAAATGAAGTAAATAAGTTTTATGGCCTCATATATCGTAGTAAGATTCATCGGAATTCACAAAAATGTTTTGGTGAAACGAAATATAAACAAGGAAAAATTCCACAATATATACACATAAAAACCAAAAGTCTATCTTAATTAATCTATTCGATTGGGAAATTTTAGAATGACGTAGAATTAAAAGAAAATGCAACTAAAAATAAAACAGGAATACTATTTTTTATAACAAACTTATTTGTATTTTCATGTAATAAAACAAATATCTTTCTTTTTTTGTTATATATTGATGTTGTATTATAATTATTTATAATAAAATCCAAATTAAAAGATACTTATTGACTTAAATTGAAGGGAAACCAACCAACGTTGTATTTATAAAATATAAAGTTTCACGCAGACACATCGTTAATTCTCATCAAATACCTTCGATTCATTAAGCAATAAGAGATAAAATAACTATTTATATGCAAAACACGCAAAATAAATATCGTAATAAATAATCTGATAATATGGCAGCGAAAACTGTTGCGCGTCATAGTAAAAAACGCCAAGGACATCTTTATCTGAATGGAATGCGTATGGTAAACAATGTTGTACAAGGTATTTCGCTAGCCGCGCCCTGCAGGCCAATTAAAATTTGCTTCATATTTTCCATTTACTAGAGAACGGATAAATCAAATAATTTCCGCAGTCTACCAATGGTATGACTACCTTAATTACTTAAATACAGACTGATGAAACAATTAAACTTGAGGTATGTTAAATTACAAAGCGATTACTGCCATTTGATTGAAGACAAGAAATGCAGTAAAATGCCCAGCCCCTTAAAGTCACGGTTGAAAGCGCTCGTAGTGCGTGGGAAGTACCCACAAGATGCTTTACACATACTTGGGTTACACAATCCAAAAGACAGTTACATTACACGACAGATATTTATGATATTTGATTTGATATAATGCAAATTTTGTTATATTAAAACAACAATGTTTTCATCCATTTAAAACATATATTAAAATAAGCAAACGTTGAGGCTCGTGGAAATGCAAATTGGTGTAGATGCATTCCATCGCGAACCGCATTATATTACGTCTAGAAGATACGCATTGCTATCTTAGACATGAATAATTTAGCAAATTTAAGTTTATTAGGAATGTAATTTAATATAATTATTTAACTTAATACACAACTCTTTGTAGTCACATCTACAGTCTTCCCTGTTGGCGCGATGTACAAAACAATGAGGAATTTTTACTCAATTCAAATGCGTAACTGTGGTACATACAATTCAAGTTTTTGTTCCAACATAACAAGCCTACTGTAGCATTTATATTATCAGCGAAACCACAAAATCCTGATTCGCACGCAACGTCTCATTAGAGCAATGATTTTACAGGAAATTACATGTATGTATGTATGTACAATGGAAAGTATCTGCTTACTGAGATGTATTAATAATAAAAAATATTTGTTATAACCTTTTTCTTTCAGCTTCCCATATAACGTTAACATGTAATGCGATGGAGACATAAGTTTATTTTTAGCGTTAATAAATTGGCTTACTGTCTGTGTTTATTGTACGCGTGGTATAGACGGTAGTAATATGACATTACTTACGTCTCCTAGTGCAATTCACATTTTCTTAATTGGATTTAAAATGGTCTATAACGTAAGAGATATATACTTCTACAATTGAAACTATCTGATAGTATGTATCGCAAAAACTTCTGTATATTACAATTTTCTTTGCTTAGTAATTTAGTATCACGTGACGATATTCATATAGAAATAGTTACATCAAATCTGTATTATAACGGGTGTCCCATCTAGCGTTTCGAATTTGAACTAACGATAATTTGACATTGGAGACGTCAACTGTCATCGGAGAAGTGTCACATATTTAGTAATAAGTCTGACATTTACGAAATGGGTCGCTATTCGCTTGAGGAAAGCTGGGAAATATTAAAAAATTATTTCCAAAGTGGTGAATCGCCAACGCAAACTGTGCGAAATTTGAAAAAAATATTTGCCAAAAAAGATTTGCCATCGGAGGCATATGTGCGGCAATTTGTGAATCGTGTGCGCGAAACTGGATCACTGTTGGATAAAACAACACGTAAACGTCCATTTCCAGCAAGGTCAACCGAAAACATCGCTGCGGTGGAACAAAGTGTTCGTGAACGGCCATCCACATCGATTCGTCATCGAGCGCAAGAGTTGCACCTTTCTCGGTCAACTACGCACCGAATTTTGCGCAAAGATCTTGCCCTGAAGCCATATAAAGTTCAGTTGGCCCAACAGCTGAAGCCAATTGATCATCCGAAACGTCTACGGTTCGCAAATTGGGCGGAAGATCGTTTGGCCGAAGATGGTGAGTTTTATCGAAAAATCATCTTTTCCGACGAGGCTCATTTTCACCTCGGCGGTTATGTAAATAAACAAAACTGCCGTATATGGGGCACAGAAAACCCGCACGTCGTTGAGGAGAAACCGATACATCCACAACGAGTGACTGTTTGGTGCGGATTTTGGTCCGGCGGCATCATCGGCCCATTTTTTTTTGAAAATGATGAAGGAGCCGCCGTAACCGTCAACGGCGAGCGCTACCGCGCTATGTTAACTGATTGGTTTTTCGGTCAAATGGAAGAGTATGATTTGGACGATATTTGGTTTCAACAGGACGGGGCTACGTGCCATACAGCCCATGCTACGGTCGATGTTTTGCGCCCAATCTTCGAAAATCGCATAATCAGCAAAAATGGTGATGTGAATTGGCCTCCAAGAAGCTGCGATTTAACACCATTGGATTATTACCTTTGGGGAGCGGTCAAAGACGTTTGTTACGCCAACAAGCCAAGCACGATTGATGACTTGAAACATGAAATTGAAGTTGCCATTGCTGCCATAAGGCCGGAAACAATTGAAAATGTACTGAAAAATTGGACTGATCGAATAGGGTACTGCCAAGTAAGCTGTGGTGGACATTTGACCGAGATAATTTTTCACAAATAATGTCATGAATTATGCTTTCAAATAAATGTTTGATCATTGAAATCTATCGAGTCGTTCTTTTTTTATAGCCTTTTTAAATTCGAAATTTTCCGTGAGACACCCTTTATATCTTACATTCTTGTTATATTTAATATACAACATAAACTTCCAACGATAGCATCTTTAACTTTTCATTTCACAGCAATTTCTGTTCGATGTAGACTATACAAGTACCGGCTAGAATTTACCGTAATGCTTGTCACTGTTCAACATCTTAACAAACATGTCAATATAATATGGTATATATTAACATTATCAGTCCATCGTTATGTATAAAGGCCTATTAAAACGAGCAGGTGGTTCCTAAGGTCGAATTTTTAAGACAATGGTGCAGGTGCCAGCATCGCTATGGTAACCAGATAGTCCTAGAAACGATCGGTATTTAATAGGGATGTGTAGGAGCACCTGCAATGGTGGTGCGTTGGTAAAGCGGTAGTCCGGGGGGGTATACGGCGGGGGAGGGGGCACTGCGCCGCTTTAGAAAGGCGCGACCATCGCTGCAGGCCTGGGCCGCATTCTACGGCCTGTCATTCACACCGCACAAGTTGCCTATGCAATGCATTCCGTCTCCCGCCGCGGTCTACACGCATCGAGCTATACACCGTACACGCACCACTTACGAAACAACAACACCGTCCAGCATTCATATGAACCATACAAGCGTTTCATCGTATTAATTAAATAATTCCTCTGTTCAATGTATTCTCCGATGCTACATTTGTCACGTAGCAACCCTATATAAACGGTCCTCTCATAACGACAACGAACTCAACTCGCTCCAACGGATAACAGAATGATAACCATAATTTGTGTTTAGGTCATTTGTTGTTAGTCAATTGTGGAATGTCGTGTGAAATCGAGCCTGTTGAGCATATTTTCCGCCAGATAGCGACGGCGTCGCGACTAGTACAGTTTGTTTTTCACGATTTATTCTATTTTAGAATCATATTGAGCTTTCTCGACACGATCGACACATATTATATTAAATTCACTTTCATACGCACAGTCCAAAGTTCATTAATTTTATCAGAGAACACTTAAATTCACATTGGAATGTAAAGTTTTGACATGGGGCTCTTACGGGTTAACACTTCTCTTCAGAAAACTTACCTGTCTCGCGGGTCGATCCACGTCGTTTTTCTGCTGTTGTGGTCGATGAAATAAAGTTTTCCATCAAAGTCCCTCGCATAATCCCATCCGTCGGGCAAGGGTATCTCACCGTTTCGTCTCCTTGGCATATTTCACTGATTAAATCCATTCAAACGAATAACGAAGCACACTCGCGAACTAGCTACACGGCCATGTTGAATACCTCATTACGAAGAGTGACGTCACGCGGGTTCGGCCAATGGCGGCGAAGGGCCCCCACGATGGAATGCGGCGCGTACGCGAGCGCGAACACAGTCCGCACTTGACTCACCGGCACTAACACGACATACGACCGCTCCGCGCAACCTCGCGGCGCAGACTGGGGTGTTCGACTCAACGCCACGTTATCAAAGTTCATGATAATATCCTCAAGCACCTACTGTCTAAATGCATTCCTTCTGACCACAATGTTTACATTACAGCGATGCTCATGTACACACGGACGATCGAAACCTCCACACGGCTCACGCGGACACTGCACAAACATACATGCAGGCAAAAACTATCTCGGTACATATCCATTCAATCTATTTACGATTCCACAGTACATACACACGTAGTTATATCTGTATGTATATGGCGCGCATTCCACGGCGTATGTAGACATACATACATTACAGATACCTACCTATCTGAGTTTATACAACGAGATATTTCAGTGAACCGTCCGCGTCGCTGATTTTGTGGAGTCAATTTCCATTTGCATTCGTTCAAACCGACTATTACGTATCATATTAAGATACGTTGGAACGAACTAAGCATTATGTTTATCTCATTTTTCTGACGTACTTTATGAACGCAAAACAAACAACTATGAATTTAAGTTACAAAGGTATAGTTTATTCCTCATTATTTGACTTCATTATACATACATGTCGTGTTTTAAAATAACTTGTTACTTTATCGAGTTGAATTACACGTATGAAAATCAATACGTATGGGTTTGCGTAGTTCCAATAATAAAATTTTATTCATATAATAATGTTTTCAGATTCCTTTACAAAATAACTATTATTTATCATTCAAAACAACCTTAGGATTTAATAAATACGACTCATCTTTATAATATTAGTGCGATCAAATAATAATCCTAGAAGGATATTGACCGAATATATTTTGATAAAACAAATGATAATAATTCTTTTGTCATACAAAACAATGTTTATATTAAAGCACTTAAAATAATCTAAGTACATATCCCTTATAAAAGAAATTATTTTATTGTTTGTTTAGTCTATAAAAGTATTTAGTAGTAATTATAAGATGAATAATTAATAATTATTATTTAGAACGGAATTTTAGGATTACCTTGGATAGTTATTATTGCGTAAAAAAACATATTTAAAGTTTTAAGTCAAAATTAAACTACTTCTTTCTGTAAAATCGCAATATAAAGATTTATGTGTTTTATTATAATATTTAATATAAGAAATTAACAATAAATAAGCGATTAAATTACTAATACAAATGAACATATTAGTTCTTATCTATTACTTATTGTTAAAGGATTACGGAAACGGCATAATAATAAAACAATTAGCGCGAGACAAAAAGACAAAAAATGGTGTTATAAGTCACAAAAATAAATTCTCGTGCTCATAAAACTAAATAGTATACAGGATTAACTTAAAAGTAACAAAAGAAATTGTTATATACCCACATGACAAAATAAAATCTACTTTTAGACTTAAAATGATTTAAATTATTACTGACATGTATCTACATTACACTAAATAAATCTATTACTATTACTTTATAAGACATAGCATATATTTTATAAATTTAATCCTAATCAAGACAATTTTAACTTACTTTGAATCAGGTTTTGACCATGATCGTCTAAGTTGGTACAATCTACAAATATAATATGAATTACCTTTTTTATTACTTTCAATCCGCCCGGAATTAATAACATTTTATTAACACACATCACAATTGAGAATTCCTTAATAACACCAGACTTTTTTATTTTAAAATGTCAATTTTAATTCAGTAATTAATAAAATTCAACATGACACTAAATAAAAATTTAAAACACCAGCAATCATAAAAGTTTAAATCCTTCATTGTTATTGGTCAAATAGACTAAAGTTAAGGAAAAGAGTTCCGTTCTACGTAAAATTTTACATAAAAACTTACTCCAAATTATTAATGAAATAGATTAAGTAACATATTTTGGTAATACTCTTAAATACGTATTTATATTTATTTTGATATATATAATTTACAGGAAATATGGCGTTGAAAATATAACAATATGTAAAAGGTAATTTTTAATTCATAAATGTTGATGTGTTAAATCTGTCAAACACGTAGACGTAAAATACGATCAGTGAATAAAAGTATTGAAATATCGTAATATTTTTCAATATGCCTTCAAGTGATAGTGATGATTTTGAAAGTGCTGATGAAGGGCACAGCAGTCCTACCAAACGAGAAAGGAAAAAGAGATTGTCATCCTCCAACTATAGTGACAATTTAGAATCAGAAAATGAATTAAAGAAAGTCCAACCCAAAGTTGCAAGTAAACTTGAGGCCTCCAAGGATAAAGTAAGTTATGTCCAACCTTAAAACACTACCAGTAGATGATAAAAATCCATTTCATCGATTTATGTAAACTTTTATATTCTTCAAAGTTTCAATAAGATTGTATTTGTAGATCAGTAGTTCAAGAATATTTTACGTTTAACAATATTTATTCTATATTATAGGAACCTGTTGTAAATAATGAGGGATGGGATGACTTTGATATCGATGAAGATACTATTCAAACGAGTAACAATGAAACAGAAGTTAAAAATATAACATCTAAAACCGAGACAATAACTGTATCAGAAACTAAAGATTCAGGCTGGGACGATTTTGATGATTGGGGAGATGATAATGAAGTTAAGGTGAACATAAACTATATGTGTACATATAAATTTTCTATGTTAAATAAAGTTATTATGTTTTTACTAAGACAATTTTCATAACAATCTCAATTCAAATGTAAAAGAAACAAAATATTTGAGTAACCTATAAATTTGAATATCATCTATGAATTCTAATCAAATTTAAGTGTAGAAGGTCAAAATATTACCTTTAAATCAGAGTTAAAGAACGGTAATAAACTAGCTTTAAATTTATACAATATTAATACAAAAATGTTTACTTCTAGGACCAAGAAGTGAAACCTCAAACTATTAGAGATAATATAGCCGCTAATGAGCAAGTAACACAAACGAAATCTCAAAAGGATGAACCGAAAGCATCTTGGGGATGGGGTTGGGGTGTCGACTCACTGTTGAACTCTGCAACCGCTGGAATTAGCACATTAACAACTCAAGTATCCCAGGTGAAAATAAAAACTGACATATTAAACTAATATATATTTATATATACATATATGCATATGCCAATATTTTTAGCATACTTATAGTGTACAAAACTTTTTCATATATCTGTCTTATAATTAAGTATCATTTAAATACTAATTATATTCCCATACATTATTCAATGTACATATATACTAAATGATTGTTCAACAGTTTTTCTTGAAAATCTTCCCATAATGTGATTATGTATTTTCAAAGTTCAAATGTACCAAGATATATATAATTTTTTTGATTTTATAAACATATTGTTTTCATTTATATAACCATTTAATTAAAAAAAACTACTCAAAGCTACTAGCTATTTTTATTAATGTTATTAATTATAGTATTCATTTCATATATAGGGTATAACAACAGTTCTTGAAACCGGAATCGGTGCTCCCGATCCCGAAGTGCTAGCCAGAATGTCGACTAAAAATGAAACAGAAAATATTACTGAAGATAGAAAAACAGAAAACATTAGTGATACATTCCAACTTGGCAGCTTATTGTCCGGAGTTACCAAATTTGTTGAAACAACTGGTATGATAGCAATTATATTATGATAGTAAACAAATTTTTCTATATATAGATATACTATCTGGGCCCCGCGGTTTTACCAGCGGATTGCCGGGTTTTTCGGGATTTCCAGGAAATTAAGTTGCCTATTCCTGGACGTCAGCTTCATCAACCGTTTGAGCGTGAAGAAGTAACAAACATACACACTCTCACAAACTTTCGCAATTATAATATTAGTAGGATTGAAAACTATTTGAGATTATGATATATGTATAATTCATAGTCCTATAGTTATTTTTACAAATTTTTGTCGGTTAAATAGCTAAACAAAGTGCTAGCTACTAGATATATGTTTTCATACCATCATTTGAGGTGATTTACTTACACTTTACCAATTTGAAGACTTACAGACTTATTTAATACATATGAGTGCACACATACATACACATATGTATGTAACAATTTATCAATGTATTTATATACTTTAAAATTTATAATATTAATATAACTTTCCAGGTACTAAAGTAATATCCGGTGGTTTGGATACACTTGAAACTATTGGAAAAAAGACAATGGAGGTCTTACAAGATGGGGATCCAGGTTTAGCCAAGAAGAAGGCATTGTTAGGGCTCGAAGAAAAACCGGTGCTATCACAAATACTAAGAGAGGCAAAGGATCGAGCGGACAAAGAAGATTCAGTTAAAGAAGCCAAGAGGGAAGCTAAGGAGGTTCATTATGAAACACTGTTTGATGACTGTGAAGGTATATATATATAGATAATTTTATATTCCCTACTAATATTATAAATGCGAAAGTAACTCTGTCTGTCTGTCTGTTACGCTTTCACGCCTAAACTACTGAACTGATTTTAATGAAATTGAGTACAGACATTGAGTTGACCTCGAGAAAGAACATAGGATAGTTTTTATCCCAGACTTTTGAAAAGTTCTCTTGAAAACGCGATAGAACCGAACTCCAAGCGGGCGAAGCTGCGGGCAGAATGCTAGTAATAAATATTATATATGTACTTGTAAAAATAGTGATATTATAATGTCTAAATTTTTGTTTATTGACCCAAATTTGACTGGGTAGATGTCAAAATTAGTGTACAAAGAAAATAATAGTGTATATTTAAATAAAATACATATGGCTGACAGTGCCATCTATATACTGTGATGGATAACTGAATACTAATACAACTTGCATTCCTTATTCCTGTAACCCAAGGAATCAAAAACTTATTCTGTCTACTGCACAGTTAGAGAATATATTATTTTTTACCTTCCCCATTTTTTTTTTGCTATTGAAGAACCAGTATAACTTAACCTATATAATGATTATTACATAACATCCTAATTTTTTGTGGGTCTCTCACTGCTATTTTAGTTCACTGCTCACTGCATTCCCCCCCAGAGGTGTTTTCTCCCACACTGGGAAAAGCTTCTGTTATCTTTATGTTTAAGCTACACTGGAAAGTCTAATCAATACACGTACAATAGCTATTGCATGTAAGAGCAAAAACCACCCTTACGTAATCCCAAACTGGCTTAATATTAGCGCGATTAAAGCTAAAATCAATAAGATTTTCATCACCTTAAAAAAAGACTATAGCAATAGACCTGTAATTCGATTGCTGTGATCTGTAACTCAACTTAGGGACAGAGATCACTTGGGTAATCTTTTACGAAAACGTAACTTGTCCTTTGTGGTAAAAAATCTTCAAAAAACGTGTAAAGACAGGTAATAACTCTATAGCACACAATTTGAGCAATACTGATAGTATGCCGTCAGGATCTACTCGGCTTATGAATGCTTAGACAAGCATTTTTCGACTAAGATTAATCGGCGATGCTTAAATCAAGCGTAAAGTATCGTAAAGTGTTATTCTATACAGGGTGACTGGTGAATTACTATCAATATTTAAGGAGAATACTCGGTACATGATTCTCATTCGAATTATGTAAAAAAAATAGGCACTTAATTTTTGACAAAATTTCCGTATAAATAAGTAAAGTGTTGACACGTTCCAAGTGTTCAAGTGCGGACGCGTGCGGCGGCGTGCTGATACAACACTACGTCACGACACGCGTATGTGTGAGTGTCAGTGTATACCTAATCTGTAGGGTGTTCACACGATGCGTAATTAATTACATAACTTTTGGTTAACTTTACTTAGAAGTTTATTAATATTTATGTTATATTAATTTTTATTTCGTCATATATGATCGTCAAATATCACGTCCTCAAATATTGATAGTAATTCACCAGTCACCCTGTATACATAATCCCAAATAGAATAGTTATAAATCTAGTATTTAGTACATAAGCTTTCTCTTTAATATAGGCCAAGTTAATAGGCTTTCCATAGTGTTGACAGACACAACTGAACAAAATTTTATCTAACAACTTAATATAAGCAACCAAAAAGCATGATTATAAGAGCTTGCTAGTCAAACAATTCTGCAAAAAATTTAACACACATTAGTCATCAAAAATTGCAATTTAGTTCCCATGGAAGCAAATATGTATATACGGAAATTTTACGTTAGAACATTCTAGAAATCTCAATTGAGAATTAAATACTTATATATTTTTTGAACATTATCACTGTTTCAGTGATATTACAATAGCAAGTTAAATTATACATTAGAATGAGAATTAACATCAAATAAATGTCTTAGGTACTAAAAAAATCTTATCTTATATACCTTTAAATATTATTGGTATATAATAATATATAACATAGTTATTAATATATGGTACCATCAAAATATAAGACAATTCATATTAGAACTTGTTTTTTAATACATTTATCCATTGATAAATTATAAATCATAACTGAAATGAAACTATTATTATCTACATTTTTCCTCCAACATCATAGCATTATGTTATTTACGATGTTAATATATTTAATTATTTTAAATTTTATATGTCGAAGAAGGAGCCAAAACGTGGTTTTTAAAATGAGTGACGTCAGCATAACTGACGTCACCAGTGCAGTTTGTTCTCGAATGTCGTCAGTCCTTGAGGCTATATCGAAGGTAACCTCACAGCCCTCACAGCCGGTGGGACGGTGTCTCGCTTCCAAGAGGTTCGATCCCCGCGACGGCTCCAGCACGACTATCTGTAATCAGTAATCTCGCCTCTATTTATAATGACTAACAGCCATTGTTATGACTTCACTCGGACAGGTTGTTACGCGAACGACACCTGATAATTTATCTACCCTCAATTATTGATTATTAAAATGGTAACTGCGCCGACATATATGATCTTCTTATATTTAATATCACAAATATAAAAATTACAGGTCTTGTACATCTAGAAGCTTTGGAAATGCTATCGAAACAAGTTAGTATGAGAATAGAAGAGAAGTTGAGAAACTCAGAACCTTCAAAACGACAAGATATTAAAGAGACATTACAACAAGTATCTGGTAAGTAAAATAATACACACATATATCTTATATATAAAATTCTCGTGTCGCGGTATTAGACAGAGAACTCCTCCGAAACGTCTGAAACGATTTTGAAGAAATTTTGTGTGCATATTGAGTATGCCTGAGAATCGGCCAATATCTATTTTTCATACCACTAAGTCAAAATGGGTTGTTCAACTTTAACTTTTTTGGGTTTTATTTTTTTATAATGTAGCATGAAAAAATACATACAAACCAAAATTTTATATATATAGTGTAGTGTTCAATAAAAGTATATATATTTTTTTAAGATGTGTATTGTCTGAGGAAAACTGAATAACAGAAACTAATATGTATTGAAGTGATTTATATACATTGTGTTTGATATCATATTATTATTTAACAATACAAACCAAGTACTAAAACAAATAACCATACATATATTTATATATATGAATATAATATTTAGTTTTTTCTTTTATCTGATTTATGGTACTATCTAGTACATTTTTGTTTTTAATTTAAACTAATAATAATAATATTCAACAGAATTGTGTGAAATGCCTGAGGAAGATGAAGAAAATGACATAACAGAAGGAATAAGCAGACCCGAGGGGCTTCATGAGAAATTATTAAAAGCAACCAGAGATATTGGCATCAAATTACAGTTTCAACCACTCATTAAGTATTAAACATTATTTTCTACTATATTATCTTCTACCCGGCAATTTACCAGCTTTAGCCAGGGTCTGCCTTACATGTTGTGAATAGTTTTGGCTAATTGTTTTTACGACTGGCTGCCTGCCTGACATCAACCCTATTTGGGAAAATTTTCTACTATAATATATGTAATTCTATTTATAATTTTTACACTCTACTTCATTTTGTTATAAATATTTGTCAGAACAAAATAAAATTTAATAATTCTTTGAAGAGAGAGACAAATGTATGTAAGTTGTAGCAATAATAATTAACAAACAGGCAGAAAAACTTATAATTACATATTTTTTATAGGTTGAGTTCAATAATATTTATTTACAAAGATAATTGTTATACAGGGTAATAAAACTATGGTGGTTTGTTCCCTAAAGAAATCTCTTTTTAAACTATTGTCAGATAAGTAATTATAAACTTATACTAGAACAAAACTTTGACAAAATAAAAAAGACTTTATTTAAATTTGTACATATATAAATTCTGAATTCAGTAACTTCAAATCAAGCTTAAATTCCTTAAGATGATAAAAATTATTGCATTTATATTAAATCATACGTCATAAAATTCTCCATACATTAAATAAATCACAATAATATATCAAAATCTCTATTTTACAGACAATACACCGATGTATTGAATGAACTATCAACTGATGCAAACCCACGCGGTACATACAAACTTGGTGTTAAATCTCTAGCTCATAGTACGGCTTTGTCTGTTGAAATATATCATAAAATGGCTGAAATGTTACTTGTGAAGAACAGACGGTCAACTGCTGATGAGGCTGATGCGGTTACACAGTTAGTATATATTGATGAATGAACAGACATACATATGTACATGTTATATAGTAATTATTTATATGAGTATATAATATATGAACGATCATAAGATTAGATACACATTCATATACATGTATGTTACCACATACGCTTGCTTAAATTAGATATATAATATAGTCTATATACAACATCATTTACATATACATATATAGTCGGGGATAGTGCACTAATATATAATTCACCAGTCACGCTGTATATTGTCAGGAATATTTCAAATCCGCGTAACTACCATTGGATAATTCCACGTATCTACATTTTAAGCAGATTATCAGAATAAAGTTTGAGATGAACTATTTTCACAATTAGTAATAAATTAAACACTAAATAATTACAAATTGTGAAAAAATTACCTTTAAATTTGTTAATATAGAAAATATTTCATCTTAAACTTTCTTCTGTTTATCTGCTTCCAATGTAGATACGCGGAAATTATCAAATGATAGTTACGCGGATTTGAAATATTCCTGACAATATACAGGGTGACTGGTGAATAACTATCAATATTTAAGGAGAATACTCGGTACATGATTCTCATTCGAATTATGTAAAAAAAATAGGTACTTCATTTTTGACCAAATTTCCGTATAAATAAATAAAGTGTGGACACGTTCCAAGTGTTCCAAGTGTGTAATTGTATGTTACCCACACACATATACTTAAAATCGATATAAATATAATAGTCTATATTCAACATTACACACATATATACAGGGTGACTGGTGAATTACTATCGATACTTGAGGACGTGATATTTGACGATCATATATGACAAAATAAAAATTAATATAACATAAATATTAATAAACTTCTAAGTAAAGTTAACCAAAAGTTATGTAATTAATTACGCATCGTGTGAACACCCTGCAGATTAGGTATACACTCACACACACATACGCGTGCGGCGGCGTAGTGTTGTATCAGCACGCCGCCGCACGCGTCCACACTTATAATATTATTATTATTTTCAGAATGACAGTGGTCTTGACGAAACACATAAGTGACTTAGCGAGTCACTTCACTGAGAAATTAAGCGAAATATCAACCGAGAATAAGGAGGATGTCAATAATTATATTACTAATATATTCTTGGAGGTGAGACACTTAAAAAATCTTAATATGACGGCAATTAATCATATTGTGTGCAAATATACTTAATATTGGTACATATAAGCAAAATTTATGTACAAACGATTTAAACTACATTGTAGTTTTGACTTAGTTTGAATATTTTAAGTTTACTTATATACATACTTTATTGTAGACATAATTATTATAGTAAATTTTGGACACAAATTTTAATTACTTACTTTTGAACTCATTAAGTAATATGAATATTCTGACAATTTAGATATATGTTTCTAATATCCGTCAACAGATGGCGTTGTAATAAATTTTATTGATAAATAATTAAATTTCTATAATAATTTGTTTCAGGCGGGGAATAGTTCAAAATATATAGAAAACGCATTCCAGTTAACCGTTCCCATTATACAGATAGGTGCAGTGTGAGAATAGTTCGTTTAAAGATTTGTTTAATGCTTTTGTGATATATCAAATGTAATTTGCAATATTAATTATTAATGTTAATGAAATAAAGTTTTTATAAATGTAAGTTTTTCATTATTTATTTTATAAATAGTAATAATCCCTACTTTTTTTACATGTTTATTTTTCAATAATTGTTAATCCTATAAAAATACATTTCAGTTGTCTTTGAAACGATTTTATTTTAATTTACTTCGAAGAAAGCAAAGATTCCCCTTTTTAATAATGAAAAATACACATTACTGATAATTGTGTTACCAAATTGAGCATAATACATAGTCAGGCCATAAATACTGTTACAATTAAAAATAAACAAAATATTACATTTGAATTTGGAATCTGTCATTTTTATATAAGTTTTCATTGTGCTTTCTTATTTTGGCGCCAATGCATTGTTCAATACTTTGCGATATTAAAATAGAGTGGGGTGATAAAGAGAACCGAATCGCTGTGATTGCATTATCCAAAGTGGGTATGGGGCCAAATGAAATTTTTAAAACCCTCCACACGCTTGGCATTAATAGTCAAATATTTGTGTACCGGACTATTAATAGGTAAAATGGAACCTCTTCTGTTTGTGACAAAAAAAGATATGGCCGTCCACGTAGTGTTTTTACGAAAAAGGTGGTCAAAGCAGTAAGGGAAAGAATTTGGAGAAATCCTGTCCGAAAGCAAAAGATTTTATCTCGGGAGATGAAGTTAGTGCTTAGAACCTTGTTGCTTTTTTTGAAAGATGACTTAGAACTTGCAGCCTATAAGAGACACACGGGACATTTTTAAATAATAATTTAATAAGGAATAGGGTGATGAAATCTAAACAACTACTGAAGCGGTACGCAAAAGGAGGTCACAGAAAAATTTTGTTTACGGATGAGAATTTTTTTACAATTGAGCAACATTTTAATCAAAATGACCCTGTTTATCCTCAAAGTTCTAAGGAAGCTTCCCAATTAGTCAACAAAGTGCAATGTGGTCGTTATACGACTTCAGTGATGGTTTGGTGGGGTGTTAGCTATGAAGAAGTGACTTGAGCCACACTTTTGTGAAAAATACCATTCTTGAGAAGGTAGTTAAGCCCATTAACAACACCATGTTCAATAACCAACAATGGTCCTTCGAGCAAGACTTGGCGTCGGGTCATAAAGCTCGGTCTACGCAGTTTTGGTTGGAAACGAATATTTCCTACTTCATCAGAGCTAAAGACTGGCCGTCGTCTAATCCCGATCTTAATCCGCTGCGTTATGATTTATTGTCAGTTTTAGAGAGTATGGCTTTTGCTCTAAACGCCATGATAATTTGGAATCCCTAAAACAATCCATACGATTGGCAGTGAAGAATTTTCCCATGGAAAGAGTGCGTGCTTCTATTGATGACTGACCTCAACGTTTAAAGGACTGTATTGCAGCCAATGGAGACCACTCCGAATAAGCTTTTTATGTTTTGAATTGTTTTATATTTTTGTATTAAACTTACATACTGTAAAAGTAATAAATGTTATTTGCAATAGAAAAAATATTTTTTTTTATTTGTTACATTAATTATGGTTAGACTATGTATATAGATATCGTATACTTAAGATAAACGGATACCTTCTTTTTGTTTCGGTTAGACCTAACGGCTTTGACAGCATCAGCGGGAGAATTGGGTGGTCCGACGGCACCTACCAAGTCCCAAGTCCCAAGGATGCCCTTAAGAGGCCGGACCTAGGCTTAGGAAGTAATTGAAGTGGAGGATGGCATCGGATGATGGCAATTTTATGACGCTCTCTGACGTCAGAACGCCAGAAAGACGTGTATGAAGAACTGTGTGTTCATCTGGTTTAATGTAATGGGAGTAATTGTGTGTGTGTTGTCGGTTGTTATCTTATCGTCATGGTCTAAGAGGTCACCTTTAGGACGCCTCTTCCCTATCAGGGAGTTGGGAGATGAAGAATAGTCACACGCTTTGACTATTAAGGGATTTGGATGTACCGTAGCGATCTCGAAAAATCTCTTTGAGATCGTTTTGAAATATGCAGCAGTCGTAGGAAGTTCGAGGTCCCTATGGAGATCGGAATACCTGATGTACCAGGGTACGCTTGTGGCTGTGCGCATGAATCTATTATGCAACACAGTTTGTTGATGGCTGAAGAACGAGTATGGGCGAAGCACGCGCTTGCGTACGATACAACTAGAACTATGCAGGTCTTGTTAATAGTAACCTTATTTGTAAGAGACATTTTACTTTTACTGCAGATCAGGGGTATAGGCGACCTAAAGTGTAGGCTGTCCTATTCCTAACTCTGTGAATAGCTATCGACGATTACCCTTAGACATTTAGCTCGTTTTTGACAAGGAATTGGGTTGTCGTACATAAAACGGATACCAAATATACAGCATTGTATGCAATGCTTATGACTTACGATTTGAATATAATACAAAATTACGTGTCCTAAGACTTTATCAGTCATCATGATTTCATGAATATTGGTCATATATGGTTCATATAATATACAACTATCAAAATACAGACTTTCATTAGGACTTTTTCCATAATATACATTCAACATATGTATATATACATGTTTATACTTTGATTGACTGCCTACTTGTTCTAATTAAATATATTAATTGAACTTTGAAGTCTTATTCGACCTTATGAAATATATAAATGAAGTTGTACACGATAAATATATTATCATTATAAAAGCTTACGCATTCATTCTTGAAGATTATAATCAAATTAGGTATATACACTTATAAAGTACAACGATATACATTCTGATATCATATAAATGTTATATGAGATTTGAACATAATATGGCTTATAGCAACAGCATAGCCAGCTTTCGTTGACAATCTAACTTGATACACTTATGTCAGTTTACGTACACCTATATCCAATTTGACCCTATCACGAGTCACGACCTGGTGACCTTTCTAATTATATCTAAGATTTTCGATAATATTCATAAAAAAGTAATATTTTCGAATACGTTCTTTATTACTTTAGACTCTCATTTACCATCAAAGATAATAGCAAAATACTGGCCAGTTGTAGTTAAAAGAAAATATAATCAATATTTTTTTTTATTAATTTAAATCTATCACCACTAAAAATTTGGTTCTCATTTGTTATATTTTTCATCTCTATAAAAATTTATTAAAATACTGGCTTTTTAATTTAAAAAATTCTTCAATTTAATAAACTAATTTTTTTTTCTCTTATTACATTTTTCTTCTATATAAATTCAAGCTAAATATAATTATTGATTTTTTTAATCCTATACTGAAAGAAATTATACTGAATGATAATAATTAGATATAAAAAGTAACTTCAATCATCACAGACGATTTAATTTATGCAAAAAAAAATAGAGAATTAAAGAAAAATTTTAGATAAAGAAGTCATTTCATTTTAAATTTGAATGAAAAGTGTCAGATGAACTAGGTTTGTAAATAATTTTTAAAGTTTAAGAATTGGTCATATTATTCTATTTTGTAGTTAAATATATAAAAACGGTGATAAACTATTATATTACTGTTTTTTAAGCGTTCAATAATAGGGGAGAGTTGGTTATATCGTACTAGCATTTAAATCGTACCACTTCTAAATTTCCCATTTAATGAATATTTTTTTCTACACTGACAACAACAAATCGTGGCCCTGTACCATCCCTCTTCACCCACTAGTTTAAATCGACGTGAGTTAACAACTGTGCAAGTAATAAAAGAAAAACATTTTTTGTAGGAATTAATATAAATATTGTCGTACATTCGTAAGGAGATAACTCGTAATCAAGGTAAGTTATAGTTATTCAGTTTTTTTTTATTATTCCACAATTGTATAATAGATTATTGGGGGTTTTTGTTGCGTGTCTAAGTTTTGAGTTTATGCCGGATATTTGCTTATGTTTTAGAAATGCCTTAGTTGGTTTAATCGTACCACTTGCAATTGGTTAAATTGTACTGGTACGATTTACCCGACTACCAACCGCAAGTACCTATAGTACTACCGCAAGTACATATAGTAAGTACTACCTAAGGCCAAAAACAAAAGTTATAAGAGGAAACGATCTCATTCCATCACCAGTAACGATGATTCAGGAGAGACACTTGTTGTAGAACTAGATGATGATGATGACAGCGATGATTATCTTGAAAATATATGTCGAAAGTGCAATTGTTCTTACTACGATAAGAAGGGTCCAAAAGTTGATTGGATTCAATGCGTTCGCTGTAAACGGTGGCTACATGAGACATGTACTTCGAATCCAGACATTTGTCATGGTTGTTTCCATTAAGAAATATGCACAATAATTATATTACAAATAACATTCTTGTTAACTATTACTTTATTATTATAGTTTACTGTTTTTTTTTTGTCTCATTTTTATTAGTTATGTTGATTGATCTCATTATCAGAGTATAATCATGTTATTTTACTGAGAAAGCTTATACCTAGTTCCTTTATATAACCTAAGAGTTAAAAATTAAGTTTCTATTACCTAAAAGACATTAATAATGTTGTTTTATTACTTACCTAACAGTTAAAAATAAATAATTTGATTGAGAATTTTAATGTCTTTCATTCAGTGGTACGACTTAAACACCCATGGTACGATTTAAAGACTTAGTGGTACGATTAAAACGACTAGTCGGCTAAATCGTACCGATGGCAAGCCTCTATAAAAAAGCATTTTTAACAATGTTAGAATAATCGCAAGGATCTGTTCTCTTCTTCTTAGGAAACTAAAATATGAAACTTTATTTTACATATGTATTAATTATTATAAGACGTGTTATAGTCCAAATATTTGAGTTAAAGTGAAAAGTGGTACGATATATCCGACTCTCCCCTACATTGTTTACAGGGCAATAAGTATGGCGCTAGTTTTAATTATTGTCATAAAATTATTATAAAAATCTATTTTCACTTATTCTCGCATTTCTTGCGAAAGCAGAATATACTGTTATCAAATGTTT